GACGTATATATATATATACATACATATATAAAAATTTGAACGAATAGTGTTTTTGGCCTCTGGGGACATCAAAATGAAAAAGTAAATCGGTCCCGGGTCTAGGTCTTACCGTGCCACCTACGGTAATAGCTACTTCCCTATAGGGAAATTCGCTAAAACAAAGGAAATCAAGATTGTTGCAAGATTGACTCAACTTCTACGAAGTGGTTATCCCGTAGATAAAACGCTGTGTTTACAATGATTATAGCTGGAGTATTCGAACACTATCTTACCTAATTATACCGACAAAATACTTTCCCGCCAGAAATGGGCATCTGACAGAACAATTGGCGGGTGCGCGCGCACGCAAAAACGTGACCACGTCCGCACGCGAACGCACCGGCACGCGCGCGATTAACTATTAAACAAACAAACAAGTCTCCGGAGTCTTGCTAACTGAATAAACTTCTTGGTTCTCAGTAATTGAACCATATTGTTTGTCCTTCCACAATGTAAAATTTACTGTTAATTTGTTTAAATCTACAGATAAAATCCAGTATCAAAAGTAGACCCTTCTTCATGCATTAGAAAATGTTCTGTTGCGCGAAATATTAGCGAATTTGCACTTATACTGCTGTTTATAGGGGTTGTCAGTTGAACTTAATTAAAATGTAGATTACTTAATAATCTCACATGATTTTAAGGTAGTAGCCCTATGATTATCACGAAATGGCACATCAATAATATAACTTTCAGTGTAGGAAAATGCATAAGACAAATGTTGATTGATCACCTACAAAAAGGAAAATGTTTACAAAAATAGTAAGTTACTGTAATAAGATTTTATTGAAGTATTTTGTAATGTTTACCAACAAATTAGATGCATACAGCGTTATCAAAATATTTCATAGTCTGTAAGTCTGTAAGTCGAGTCTGTAAGTTGCATTTTACCTTAAAAACTATGTAGCTGCATACATGAAATACGCTGAAAAACTATGTCTAAAATGTGTGTGATTAGTTTATCAAAAATACAACTTCAGGAGCTTTTAAAATTAAGTTGGGTTGTCAAAGTTAGTGTTATAAAATCTCTGTTCAAAAACCTGTTTTAAAACGTCCTTTCAGTTAGAAACGTCGAATTGACGCCGATAGCCAATAGAAATCAAACGTTTACTGGCAACGCCAACACATAAACACTAATATTTCGTATGGTAATCAACACTTCGACGGTGATCAGTTTGAATCTAATTGACGGAAATTCCAGGGATTCTGAAGATAAAAAGAACTCATGTCAGAGTCCATGTTAAAACCGGTTGGTTTGTGGAATGTGCAGAAATCTGAATGGTAAACCACTTTATGGTAGGGATAAGGTATAATTAAATGAGTTTTGAATACGTAGTGTAACAATTTCAAACGTAGTAATAACGAAAATTAAAGGCTGTTTGATCAATATTACCCACGATACTTAAGATCCTACTCCTATAATTGATAGGTAGTACCTTAATTGAGCGGAGCGAAGCGAAGCTCAAACACTCCTGCTTTTGTTTTACAAATACTCCTCCTGAACGGCTGATCTGCACCAAATTTAGCACAATCATAGTAACCAACCATGGAAAGGTATAAATCTGAAATTGTACAAATCGGACCACAGGGCTTTTCCCTACGTGAATTTAAACTTTTGGAAATTTAACATGGGTCTTATGGGTTAATTGGTTGCCATGGCATTATTCGCGAGATAATAAAAAGGTAAACAAGAGACGCAACATATGTTAGTCAACGAATCATCTAAATAGTACATTACAAATACCGGTCAGAGAAAAAGGGAAGAACAATCGGATTAATATCATTGAGCATAATTTACTTTAAAATGAATGACATAATTTCGGTGCTTTGGATACTGCAAACATGCATCTTATTTATGTGAACCAAATAGACCACTGACTATGTATACTGCAAGTAGATTTCTCATTTATGTGAGCGAAGGTGTACCATTGATGTAGGATACTGGAAGAAGACAATTTACGTGAACCAAATCCAAATGTAAACCTGTAAATAGACATTCCATTTAAGTGAACCAGGCTACCATTGACTTTGGATACTGCAAATAGGCATTTTATTTATGGAAACCAAATGTATCATTGACATTGGATCCCGCAAGTAGACATTTGAGAACTAGATGAAACATAGATTTTGGTTCCTGCAAGTAGACAATTCATTTACGTGAACTAGACTTGTAATTGACTTTGAATACTGCAAATAGTCATTCCATTTATGTGAACCAAATATACCATTGACATTGGATACTGCAAGTATTTAATCTCATTTAAGAGGAACAGATGTACCATTGACTTCAGAAAAGTATTGGATTAATATGCTAGCTCCGCTCAATAATGCAAGCAGACAACTGCATTGTACACCTAGTTAATAGGTAGCGATAGCTTGATAGTTTTATCATCATTTTATCAAATGCATTTTAGTTACCTAGCTCCATATACAATGTATTATCATTTCAAACATCAACTATGATTAAAGGTGGTTTTATAAGTTGTCTCAGTCTCACCTACCATAGAACCCCCCATCTAGTCACCAATAATTGATCATTTAATTGGTTGAAAAAATGCCAATGGAGTAAATAACACAAAAATCACATGTTTGATCAATTGCCGATAATCTAGACATTATTCACATTACATTCATAATAAGTGTGTCCAGCACCTATGCATTGTATTATAGTACAGTAGAACCTCGATAAGAAGACTCACATGGGGATTATTTAATAGTACTTGTTATCAAGGTTTACTTCATATCGAAGTCTACAAAACATAATGGGTAAAATAAATCCAAAAGGGTTTTGAAAATGACACTTATCAAAGATGACTTGTTATCGAGGCTTTGAGGAGTGTTGGTGGGATGTAGACGCTGGAATTCGTTTGTGGAATACAACCTGCAGGCCATTACAGCATCACTGACCAAGGCCAAGGGGATGAAACCGGTCTTTGGCGCCCAGGGTGAATTAAAAATCACAAGGTCTCTAGGCATGTCCTCCCCCCATCCAGCACAGGGTGGGACCAAACTGCACAAAGCCTCCAGCAAATACATTACAGACAGTAAAATACTATTTTCACCCTTTTATTTTGTGACTAAACATACTTTCCATAACATATAAAAAAATTAAATTACAACGTTTTTACACTCCATACAATTTTACTACGCCCCAAAGAAAGGAATTTTTCAACTATTGGACGCCTAGGCTGGAACGACAGCCAAATACCTAGTATATGTAGTTTGTACAAAAAATTCTTAAAAAAATACAATTTTCACCCTTTTATTTTTGGTCAAACATACTTTCTATAACATGTTATAAACGTTCTCACACTCAAAAACTTTACTATGTTCCAAAGAAGCTGTAAATTTGTGTAAATACTGGATTGACAACCAAATAGTGTTTGTAAAAATTGTTAAATAGAAATAGAAACACTAATGCTTTAAGACATAAAATACGGTAAATTAAAACCCTTACGATTTTAACATGGGGTGGAAAATGTGCACGGTATGTAAATCAGAATACTAGTGAACTTTCATGATAATTGAGGAAATGAATCTTTCACATATCGGAATGCAAGGTCTTGTAATATTCATCGCCGCGACTCGATCCAAAACATTGAAGAAATTTTCGACGTTAAGGTACTGCTAGAGAAAACTGTTTCAAAGCAACGAACATTTGATTTCCTGGGTCTAATCTAAACTAGTTTCAGATGCGTATCGAATTTCTCCCCATTGCATTCTTTACTGACCCCTGGCTCCCTTAGGTCAGTCTACCCTGCACTTCCTACTTGCCCCGTGCCAAGGCAGGTGCCCGGGTGCCCACTGGACCAGTTCACTTAGACCGTGTCCGGGTCGACCTCTGAACTTAGACCTTGGACGTTGCTTCCACTCACACCTTGCACTTCCGGATTGACCCGTGCTGTTCCGGTTGTCAAAGTTCCCCTCCTTGCCGTTGAACTGATTTAAATGTTAAATGTCCCTTGAAGTTTTCGAACGGCTCGTATTGATGTATCAAGGGCAGGTATATCCGAAACATTTAACTACTGTACAAATGAAAACATAATGCCTTGCCTATTGATTGAATAAAATAGCAAGGAAAATGTATAACTGGTCGAAAATCCAAGTCAAGATTTCAGTTTAGTTTCAGAGTTGGTACTTAAAAGAGTATGTACTTTATTTCAGAATAGCCCATTACAACGTCGATTTTTAGTAAAATTATTGAATGGAGTAGGTTTCTCAATTAAATGTGCCAATCATCAATTAATTGAAATGGGGATGCGCTACCCAGCCTAATGTAAATTACTACTGACCACTAAAATCAAATGGTGTAAGAATTTCATAAAAATTAATTTTAGAATTGGAGTAGCTAACTAATATTAATTTTATTGACATAAGTAATCCTTCTATGTATCATTTAACTGTTATTTAAACTATGCATATACATAATTCAAACTTTCACATATTGTGACTAAAAAGCTTTGAACTTTCTAACACATTGTGATATAAATTCACTAAGAATGTAATAAAATATAAACTTGCTTAGATTTCTAACACCTTTCAAGGACGAAGTTTTATCGCACATCTTACTTAAAAACTAAAGATATGAAAACAGCACAAGTAAAAAACCTGTTAAATATTTAATCTCATTACTTTGGTTATAAAACCAAACCGTTAATACTGGAAAAATAAAAAAAAACATTTATTTAGCTAAATAAATATAATAAAATATGGTATTGATTTAAAGTTATTATGTTCTACCATTCAACACATTCTTGTACACATACCCATTACATCATACAGCATACATTAATTTAAATACAGCATGTAAAAGAGAGACAGCAAAATATATAAAAATAATTATTTTCACACATCTTTTTTATTTAATAAAAACGATAAGATATATAATTATGCAAAATGTTCAATTTCTTTAATTTTCAAATATAAAACTCTACATTTGGTCAGCTTAATCACCCATTTAAACAACGTATACAAATGTATTTCTATTTCATTACAGAAATTTACTATATTCAAAGACAATTTTGGAATATGTCCAGTCCAGCGTAGAGATTTCATTGATCCTATTTTATGATTTCATTTCCGTAATGTAATTCAACCCCTTAAATCCGCTAGGAGGCTTGACCCCGGTAATCGTCCAAGATACTAATGCGGTGGTAAAATAATATCGCTCTACTTCATATTAAAAGCATTGCATAATGAACACCGCATACTGTACGTTCCTCATTTCTTAGTGAGCGCGAGGCCGGCGCAGGATATGTTTTGCGCCTGCGCGTTGGTCACTGTACACTGCGGTGGAGGGGGGCGACTGCGCCGGACACTTGTGCGCACGCGCCGTACTGGCTGGCAGGCTGGGTTACGCGCAGGCGCCAAATCTGGCAACTCCAGCGACGTGATGGACAATAGAGGCGTCTTGGACTTTGGACTCGTCTTAGCTTCGTCTTCTGACCGCTCGTCTTCAGCAGAATCGTCTGGAAAAATCGTAATTTCTGTTAAAATAATTTTTGACCAGGAGGGAGAGTGGAATCTCTGGTTGAGCAGTAATTGCGCCAAGCCCTCAAAGAGTCCCAAAAATGCTCCTTGGCTGCGCCAAAACCAAGCCAGGTAGGGGTGAGTTGCAGGCAGAATGGATGTCCTTGTTTTGTGTCATCCTAACCTAACCTAACCTACTACACAGTAAAAGAGGTCTGCTACTTGGCGCAGTTAATGAACGCATCGGGTGGCTCCCTGGATTTGGTGCAATTCACGAATACTCGACTACCTGACTCAGGTCAGTTGGCGCAATTAATACCTGCCCGAATCTCTCTCCGCTTCCGCGGATCTAAAGATTTGTGTTTTACCTCTATAGTGTTTTAAAATATAGACTATCTATGGTGCGGTATTTATGCCATTTTTACCATAACAATTATTTTACAAAATAAATCATGATACAAACAGATTGAATTGCAAGGTGGATAGGCTTCAAAGGATGTGTATTGGTGTAGGCCTTAACACTTCTTGTAATAATGCCATGAACAGGAAGCTTTACGAAATTAATTTAATATGAATAAGTAAATAAAACTAAACAGGATATACAGAAATAGGTGTTGGTACTAAGAGCCTGGCAATGTTTCAGTAGGTTCTTATTGATTCTTATTGTTAACATAAACCAAGATCATCTTGAGTCAAAGTGCACGTGTTTTCTAGGCGCATTCGGCAGGTATTGAACATGAACGCAGGTATTCGAACTTGTATATTCGAAGTGCCCAAGTGCCACAACCTACATGAACCCCCCTCAATGCTTACCAGAGTGTAGCGAAGACGATCGCACCCTGGGCGACATAAGGATGGCCATCAGAGGTTGGACCTGGGCACCTAGGGCACGGCCTAGGGTCACGGACAGAGGCAGTCTGGAAAATGGAAAATGTAATGATTACAAACACAATACAAACTTAACCTACGTCCAGTAGTTGGTCTACAGTTGCATTTATGTTTAAAACTAAACCGTAGAAGTTCAGTATATTCTTATTTTCCAGTTGACTGTGGCAACTCTGTAAATAGTAAATCTTAAATCTTAAATAGTAATTGAAAGCTATATTTTTGCTGCCCCCACTGAGGAGGATTTAGTGGGTTTAAATAATTTTTTAAGAATAAATGCGTCTTGATTTTGTTTGTAATGTATGTGTACTTGTGTGAGTTTGACAAAATGTATAGGCGATTCAAATTATTTGTCACCTGAATTTGAAGAGTTTATCTTCAAGCTGTTAGGTTACCAATCATTTTAGTGATCCAATTGTAAATTTCTTGAACATTATTCGTTTTAAATTTGTATCATGCGAGTTCTAATAATACCTGTTTAGTAACTGCCCAGACTAGCAGACTACACCAATATCTACTAGGCGATATCTTACTAATATTATAAATGTGAAAGTTTGTGTGTTTGTTTGTTTGTTTGTTTGTTTGTTTGTTTGAAGTTCAATCACGCATTAACCACTGGACGGATTGGGCTGAAATTTGGCATGATGATAGATATTCCCGATTAACATATAGTCATATTCTTATCTTAAAAGTCCTTTCGGGCTCCGCCCCAGTGGCTCTGTAGTTCCCCATGTTAACCTTATGAGTATCCATATTAAAAGGGAATTAAAGTATTTAGTCAGCGGTTTCAACCAAAAAAGTTGGCTCTATGATATGCAAAAGTATATTTAGTTATAAGATTTACCAACAGGGTGCAGCACTATTATTGTTTTGCATTTATATAAACAGCTAATTTGAACTAACCAGCCACAAAAAATTGTGATAGGCAATGAGAACTGTTAAAGTAGGATTGTTTAAATTTGTGTTTATGTTTTTAATTGCATGAATAATTTGCGATATTTTGCAATTTTTTAATAATTTATTTTTCTCCATTGTTTAGGGGAGAGGTAGAACATTATAGCTATGGTAGATGTGTAATACTAAGTATACCGTAAATTTAAAGAAGCTAATTTTATCTAACTGTGTCCTACCCCATTGCAAAAGCTAAGTTAGAGTATAACTTCAATTAGCATTTTACACTTATACGCCAACCCCGTACGACGGACGGGTACTCTGCTAGTACAATATTGTATGTTGTATGTTGTATGTTGTATGTTGTTGTATGTTATATGTTGAAATTTCTTAATATATGTTTTTTGTATTAATTGTCGCGAGTTACAACGTTTTGGATACAAAGTAATAGCATTGAGGAAGTAATATAAAATAATATTAGTATATATGATAATTTTAGTTCATCCAACGCAAATTAAACTTTTGCTGTGAAGAAGGTTAAATTTACATGCCAATGTCATGGAAAGATATTTTACAGTTTTTAACTACTCAAAAATTTCAATTTCTGATTTTCGTCAGTTCGTCGTTTTGACTCATCGTCGGTGTGGAACACCCCACTGATTTCGAAGGTGCTTCAAAATCTAATAAGCAAGCAATTTATGCAAGGGCAGAACGCAATTGCTGTGAAATTCTGCCAGCGCCGGACAAGGGTCAACTCTCTATCTCAACACTCTGCAGCGAGGCGGTCTGCGTCTTAAATATAGCAGGAGCAAGAAAATATTTTATTAATGAGTACCGTATTTTATGTTTTTTACCAAGGTTAAATTTATGTGTTAAATTAACATGATCATCGACAAGCGAGCTGAATTTAATTTAAGAAAAATTACAAAATGGATTTTTTATTTATTATCTAATTTGATCCTAATTTCGTAAAATATCACATGTAGTCCTACATTGTGTAAATAGAAAGCACCTTAGAAGAAAAGGATTTTAGGACACAAAGTTCATAGTTAGTGCAATCGTAGCCAAGATTGGCATATTTGATAACCATTATTTCGATTTTGAAAATGTAATCTCCTCAAGATTAGTTATTTAAATTTTACACTTAGCTAAATAATTATTTTTATCATTGATATCAATGTATATATTTTTGACAAGAGTACTTAACATATTATCGAACGAATACATTTCAAAAATGTAATTTTTTTAAATCATCCTCCATAAAACAAAAACTATCTACTTTTAACAAAAGTGGCCAAAATGTCCTTCATAGTTTTTTATTATAAATTTATTCTTCAATAATATAACTGGTTAAATATTTTTTTATTGACAAAAGTAAAAAAAAAAACTCAAAACATAAAAAAATATAGTGGAGAAATATTAAAATGAAAAGATAATTGACATAATGAAAGTATTAAAATATCGTGAATTCTTCTAACACATGGTTTTAAATTTTTTTATTGACGAAAGTAAAAAAACTCAAAACATAAAAAATATATTGGAGAAATATTAAAATGAAAAGATGATTAACATAATGAAAGTATTAAAATATCGTGAATTCTTCTAACACATGATTTTATAGTTTTTTATTGACAAAAGTAAAAAAAAACTCTAAACATAAAAAATATAGTGGAGAAATATTAAAATGAAAAGATAATTAACATAATGAAAGTATTAAAATATCGTGAATTCTTCTAGCACATGGTTTTATAGTTTTACATACCATTAATCCTTTATATGAATAATTCATTATCTCTCAAGAGATAATTTTTGAAAGCAAGGGATATTTTATCTTTGCTTCTTTTTTACTTCCAGCAAAGTACAAAGTACAAAGAGTTTGCCCTTATATTCATATCTCTCCTAAAGAAACCTTTTAACTCAACTATACTCTTTTTAATTGATAATGTTATAAAACATTATTGTTATTAAATTTTCTTACTGTCTAGGTATGATGAAAAATGTGTATTTTCTTTTAGAATAAGTCAGTTTAGCATTTTTACACGGATTTAATTATTGGTGTTTTGCAAAAAATTTAATTTTAAATTAATTAGTTATTTTACAGAAAATATTTTGTAATAGCTCATATCGACTCATTGACAAAATTGCATGCACAACGCACTTGAGAATCATTCAATGTGATAAGAAAATGTTTAATTTCAAAGCGAGTGGCATTTGCTATTCTGCACTCCGGATCCCTGTCTGAGGAATAGTTCCTTCTCAAACAGCTGATCCCCATTCATTCATATTTTTCTTATTCGAGTATTTTAATTCAGAGTTCCGAAAATTAACCTAGACAAATCGAACTTTCGAAAAGTGAAAAGTGCATCTAAGTTGATCCAGTATATTTCACTACTAGTAGTATTGAATGATACTTTTTTATTACGATGATGAAAAAATCTACTTCATCAAACTTAAAAAAAAAATAAAAAAACGTCAGTTGTAACTTTTTTGATGTCAGGCAAAGTAATGTTTATGTCAGGAAAAGTCAGCTGATTACATTTTGTTTTTTATGTATGGAAATTGACGATTTTCGTGGATCTCAGCTGAACTGAGATCAACTTCGTCTTCCTAATATTGGAAACTTCCTAAATCGTGTAAACTTTCTTTTCTACGTCAGACTTGTATGAAATGGGCTGTTTTCGAATACAGAGTGATTGATGAAAAACTACTTTCTAGCATAATTAAAAATTGTATTAGTGTTTTTTTTTTCTTTTCTTTTTTTGTGGCTGACAAGAGAATAATGATCCCTTTGGCATACAAACTAACCATAGAGGTGTAAGATATAATTCCAGGTTGGATAATATAATTATTTATATTCTGTCTATATTTTCCATTCAAATTTATTTAATATATTGTAACACTATGTAAATAAACGAGATATTCTTCAAGTGTTAAACGTTCCATGGATTTAATTTAACCTAGGTGTTCTCTTGGCTAGTTAATATGGTGGTATTGTTGTAATTGGCACGTAAAATTATCTAAATAAACTCATTGATATGATCAATTGAACGAATTTATATATTTTAAACGCATTCCCTTATTACCTCCGTATATTACCAATCAAATGTACACCACCTTTGACATGACGTCATAAAACTAACGTGTGGAAATGTTAAATTAATGTCCTCAAAGATAGCTTTGCTAACAGTTAATTTGGTAAGGTGGGTAATAAGTATAATATAAACCTCTCTCCGAAATGGTAAACCCTAGATCTTTGGGTAAATTATTTTTGGTAAGGCTAATCCGAGCTACTTAGCACTTGTGACTAGGTAATTTTGGGGTCAATGGGTTTTTTAGAAAGACCAAAATTAATTAGGTTCGCTTAAAATAAGTTTTACTGAAATTTATGCTTTTTTTCTGCACTTTCCATGTTTTTTCTATCAACGTTGCCCAATGCGCCCTGTAGTATATAAAGTTTCTCTAGCCACTTTTCTACCACATTCTGCGCTCCGGTTCCCTACATGAGTAGATACGCCGTTCTTTCGCCTTAATTTCAAGCTCAAGGTGTCAAAGCGTTTCAATTACGTTGCGGGTTTACATGAGGGTACTTAAAATATTGTCATCAAACTACAAGAACTCTGGAAAAAAGTCAAGCATTGTCAAAACATGCCTAAATTAATTACAAAAATTATTTATTTAGACCTGACCAATAAAACTGTGATTTTTTTAGATTCTAACAACGAACGGACTATATTAAGGCATTTATCGTGAGTTTGGCCCAGATTTTCTAACTATATAGAAAGTAGAAATAGTAAAGATGACATTTAGGATTTTTGTAACATTTCAGTACTCTACCGTATGTAATACGTTATTTTTTCCCGGGCCTCACAAAATTTTAATTGCTGATGAAATCTGCAACATCACTCTCTCTGTTTAAACGTCTACCGCACGCTGCGCTCCGGATATCTTCCTATGGACTTAGCCCGTTCTTCCACTGGATTTCAACCATCCCTCATAACGTCGGTTTCATAAAGAAAGGAGTTTTAGAGTAATTTGTTGAGAAGCTGGACATTGAAAAACTTGTAAATATCATACATATATGGAGGGTAAGTCTTAGAATGCACGCTGTGCAGAAATTTGTTCATTCAGTATTATTAAAATT